GCGGAAAGGACTTCGCGGGACTGGCCCCCGGCTCAAAAAAGTTGCCTATCCCTGCCCTAAGGGGTGTGTGACACGACTGCTCCCCAAACATCTGCCTTTTGGCTGAAATGGGCTGTGGCATTTGCCATGTCCCTTTAAAACCCTGAAGAGATGGTGTGAGTGGGGTGAGGCAAAGTAGAGAAAGTAGAAAGGAAAGGTTCTAGGTTTTTTTTTTAAAAAAAAATGAATTTTAAAATTTAATTCTTTTTTTAAATTATTGTAATTGTAATTGTAATTTTTAAAAGGGTTGGACCCAAAATACTTTAGCTTATGGTTCTTAATTTTTAGTGATAAAGCCTTCCAGTACATTTGGGATCTTTACAGAACTTGCTTCTGGGCTCTGAGGACTGTAATAAAAACAAAAACTGGAAAAAAAATACTATTCTATGATTACAAATCCAACTAAGCTTACTAAAGTTACTAGTAACCATATTCTGCAGGGAGGATGCAAAAAGCTTCCCTGGGTGGGAATCAAACCCAGGCCACAGTGGTGAGAGCACCAAATCCTAACCACTAGACTACCAGGGATGGATAAGGATGGGATGTCTTCTTTTCCTTCTCCGTCTCCGTCTCCATCTCCATCTCCATCTCCATCTCCATCTCCATCTCCTCCTCCTCCTCCTCATCCACCAAAGAGGTCTTATTTGTCACTGAGAGAGGGCAAACTGTACACTTTCTTTGGCTTCTTGAGGATTCACATTCTCTTCCTCTCATATGCAGTGCAAGAATCAAGTGTCCTGGTTGTTTCTTTTCACAAACAACTGGCAAAAGAGATTCAGGGGTCCCTCCCCCATTTTTCAGCAAGCTCTTCACTTCTCTGTATCCATGGGTCCTAATGAAACCTTTTCAAATTAAAATCCTAATTAAGCCCTGGCAAATATCGCACTACACAGAGAAGCTGTGCTGTAATTTCTGGTTGGCTGCAGCCTCTTTATCTCTTGGAAGGGCAAAAGTAAGAGAGCTGTGTGCACCAGCCGGGACTCGAACCCGGGTCACAAGGTTGGG